TCAGTGAGGAAAGGGTTCTGAGAGCCTTGGAAGTGATATTCGTGATCACCGCGAAATTCTCTATCGAATGGTGTATGAAGTGTCGAAAAATAAATTTCACTGCAAGGCTGCCCTGGGTGCATCTTACCTTGCGATAGAAAGCATTCCTTAGAGTTGCTATAACTTCTGCATTAAACAGATCACACGGCCCCAAATAGAGCTATGTGAAACTTATTTTTTAGCTTGGACAGAGGGCTTCAACTTTCTTGTAAAAATGTGTACCTAAATTCACAAAATGACCGAACAGGAACTAAATCAAGAAAATTTAATACATATTGAAGAATTTCGGTATCATCATCTAATTTTTCAACAATTCGTGATTCGGCAAAATTTGAATCCCACATATATCTAAAAGTTAAATAAAGAGATAGAAATTATTGAAATGAATGTTAGTACTGGTACTCACCTTTCATTTAGAATTCGATGGGATACTTGTTTAATATTAGCCGGTATATCTACTGAACATTTCCATGTTGGCAACGGTGCTAATTCTGTTCTTACTAATTTTTGTTTATGAATGCCAAGCTCATTAATATCCAAATCATTTGTTGGTAATTGAACACTTTTATATTTGGTATTTTGTAATTGCTAAAGGGAATAATTGAAACATTGTATATTCTCTTTAAGTGATTAAATACAATATGATACCTGAATAAACCGTTCACTTTCTTTCGCAATATATTCTTTGATTAAAAATTCTCCATTGCATTCACTTCGAATTAAACTATCAAGACGTTTTGTTATACGTTGACTAGGTAACTGTAATTCTTCAGATAGTGCACTTGGTACCTACAGTTTAGATTTGTTTCGAGTAAGTGATTGAAGAGCAGGAAAAAGAAACAGCGTTCTTACCCTACATAAAACATCCACATTTAATATCATTGCCATTAGACATAATTCTAATGTTAATCGTTCACTTTCTTGTGCAATAGAATCAAGTTTTATTTCTTTACGCCATTTCCACCACGTTAATTTTGTTGAACGTAATTCATGATACGATTGAAATACAGATGGAACAAATATTCGAGCTAAACTTCGACAGGTTGTCTAGAAAACAATAACAAAAAACATCAACACATATATATCATAGACGTACGACTCACCTGACTAGCGCCTGATCGTATTGATACATCAAATAAAAAGCGTAAAATCGTCTCTAAAACATCCCTTGTTTCATCTGGCAACAATAGAAATGAATAGCGTATGGCAAGAAGTTGATCTTCTTGAGGCAAACCTAAAATGGAAAAATCTTACTTATAATTAAAGTCTTCAGTTTAAATAAAACTATATATATCTACATTTAATAAGATCACATAATATCCTGGTAATTGCTGGTGGTATGATGCATTCGGGTAATTCACGGAAATACTGACGTACAACATCGGCAACAGCATATGGCTGATAATCATCAAACTTAATATGATCTGAATCATGTGTTTCAATTTCATTTCTTAGACGATCAATTTTTGATTTAACACCTGGTTTACGAAATAGACCATCACATTTTCCCGCATGTAAACGTAAATATTGTAGAGCATCTGTTATTGCTAAGGGTAATAGACGACCACTCGATTGTTGATAAATACGTAATGGTACACCAAATATTTGTTTCGTTTTCCATAATGATGATTTTGGTAGTTTTGAAAGGCTTGCCAATGTGCTATTAGAAAACAGAAGAAAAATTATTATATATACACTCACTACTTTAATTTATCTTTTGCTTACACGATATCCTGATTATTGATAACATCATTAGTACAATTGAGATTAACCAATTTGAGTAATTTGGTGAGTGCTAGAATTATAGAATTCTTTGAATATTTCTTTAATAATAGAAGATATAGAACATACCTTTTTCTCTTAATCTATTAATATCGTTCGATAAGAGTAAATGGACATTAATTTCATTTGTACTCGTCGTACTTGTTGTACGCATGACTTCGTAAGACGGTGATGTTAATAATTCTCCTTGTGATGTTGAAGATGTTTTCCTACATAAAATAGATCACAGTTGAATGAATATACATGCCTATTTATATACACAAAATGATAATGTAGGTGGTGAGATAAATGAATGTATGATCATTGCGAATATAAGGCAGTGAGTGTAGAGTGTATGGATTAACGTAACACAACATGGTTGAACTAACAAAAAGATTTTGATAAGTGATATACTCTATATTCAAAAAAGAAAAGAACAAAATTGATTTACTGGATAAAAAACAAAGAAAAAATGTATCACATATATCATTGTCATTAACTGAACATAACTTTATGTGAGATCGAAATAATAGATTTAAATTTATGTGGATTTAAAAGAAAATCTATAAACGAGAGAAAATAATGATTTTATAACCCGCAATGTATTTATACATGACCTTGTCAACGCACACACAGAAATACATTGATAATAGTCATTTGAATGACACCAGGGGAAATATGGTTATTATAGATATATCACTTATACACGCGATTGAGAAATTTGATATAGAGGCTGAATAGAGGAAAAAAAGATTTTTGTATCTTTATATTGAATTCATCACAAAAATTATGTCTAGATGTTGACTGCAACTAACAAATCTGAAAAGTTTTGTGATCAATTACGATATGGTCAGTTCAAGATCTCTTGTAGTAGAAGTAAAAATAATCATGTACGATTATATTCAATTTTTCTTGATACACACACTATTTATCCACTCTCAATTTATAGAAAACTTAATATATGATAGATCAATCTTTATACAATAAAATAACGAACGCTATTTTGAACACATGCTGATATTTTTGTCGAAATCTAATTTACTGTCGCGCCTAAGTTCTTCTTAATCTAAGACGTGTCTTACTCTGTTTCACAAACATAACTTAGACTGGAATCGAGCATTCAAATTAAATAAAAATACTTCAGAAAAAGTGAAGGTAGGTTGAGAGTCTTAAGTTTGTCTTAAATTTTAAGATTTAAGTTAGAAATCTAATTTAATTTTAGTTTAGATTTTTTATAAAATATACTCTAAACTTGTCAGACACGTACTCTCTAAAAAAACTACGTAGCTTACAAAACGAATATCGATTTTGACATTTGCTCCTAATAACCGATATTCGTATCGCACAATCCCGCTTAACTGTTTTGCAGAATACGCTTGAACATATAGGTAAACGGATTTAGGTTTTGTATCAGAGAAAAAAAGGTTCAAGCGTATTCTGCGAAACGGTTAAGCAGGATTGTACGAATATCGGTTTCTATTAGGACCAAATGCCAAAACCGATATCCGTTGTGTAAGCTACAGATTTCTTTTTAGAAAGTAGATCCTAGTGAAAAACATATATAAAAATGAGCCAAAATGTTGAATCGTTGGACATTCTAGAGTTCTAAGTGTTGTCAGGATAAATATGGGATATATCTTCAGTCCGCTTACGGCTAGATAAATGTACTTTTAGTCTAGTTGCAAGTGGACACTGCAGCTATTTTTGTAGCTCTCTATTCTCTTGCTTACTTATTTTTGCTTTGATCTCAATGATAATATCTATCTCGTATTAACAATTTTTGCTCTTGGTTAAGAGATAATAATAGTTTGGAATTATATAATACATTTACATAAAGACGTCATCATCAGCAGCAGTGTAGAAAAATTATGTTCTGTTCCCTTTTCTCTTGGATTACTACAGTTTATACATCTTTTGAAAGAAACGAGAGGTGTTACCTTCGAATTTGTTTTATTATCATATACTCATCTACACATTTTTTCCACGTCCATTACGTTCAACATTACTTGCATTGTTTTCCTTTTCTTTTTTACTTATAGAAGAAAGAAACAAAAAAATCCTTGTTTCAGTGTCCACATGAAATCGGCTGAACATGCACGGAAAAAGCAACATACACATACATCTTAATACTTCTGAAATTATCAACTTATATATAACTGTCACACAAATAAATCAATTAAAACTGCTGCAAAATAATACGTATTTTACTATCCACCAAAGAGAGATGTCTCCTAAAAATCATCGCGGCAACGGATTAACGACTTTTTGCACTGTCAAGGTATAATTTCTATAAAGAGAACTTATGTATTCGAAGAAGAATTACAGAATTTTCAGAAGATTATAAAAATGCTTAATGGTTTATCCAACGTTTTCTTTGGTTCTCCGAGTAATTTTATTCCGTATCGTGCAACTGGTTCAAACGAAACTTTCAGAACTTAAAGATTGAAATGAGCATAGATGGCTCGATAAAAATTTCAATAAATAAGTAAAATCAGGCTCTTGGTACAGCTCACTTTTCTTAGTTTCTTAGTTTTGATACTATATACAAAGACTGTGTTAGTTCTAAACAATTCTAGACATTTCAATTTACATATTAACGTGAACTATTGTTGAAATTGTGCCATAATGGCAACGAATTTCAAAAATCATTCATTTCATTCTCTGTATTTTGTCTAAATTGTTATCCAAAAAGTATTTATTAGAATGCGCTAAATAATGCTGGGAAAAATATACTGTGTAACAAATGGCAGTAAGGTCAGTATCCTCAACAAAAATATCAGTCGTTCATTTATTGCTACATTTTAGGCTGTAGTACACAAATGCTCTGAACTTTGTTCCACAGTATTGCACTCAATTGGATCACATCTTACTTTATAGAGCAGTGTTAGCTCTACAAATTACGGTGCAGTATGTATCAAAGAAATTCTGCGAGGTACGAAGGTTTTCAGGACTCGTCACTAATAATATTACACTTCAAAAAAAACGTTATTCAATATCGAAAAAGATAAAGATTCTAAAACTAGATCCATCAGATTACTCGTTGATAAATGTATATCTGAATTTTAATGTTCGACAAAAAAATGAGTCATTTGCAGAGACGGTCTTTACACTTGTTGAAAAATGTACATAACAAATATTATGAACTTACTTTAAAATGAACTTTAAAATTTAACTAACGGGGAATTACACTGAATATTAATGATAAAACCAGTAACTTTGGTTCAAACTTGTCCAAGAATGTTAACGTGGAAACGAAGGAATAGTTTAAAAAGAAGTTATTTTCTCAGAAAGAACAAAAGGGAGATATATAACATCTTTTTTTGACTATGTGCGTCATAGATATGAGTTCTCTCTCTCTGACCATGACAGAAGGATATCTAATGTCTAGTTGTTAACATATTTAATGTGATTATGAGAATAGATATACGGATGTGTCAACAAATCTTCTTAGATGTTATTCAATCAACGGGCCACTTTCTCTCTTTAAGGAAAGAAGAGCTGATATAATAATTACATAAACATTTATTGATAAAAGATCAAATTCTATACAGCTATGAGGTACTCCCTGAGAATAAATAAGATATACCTTTAGTGGACTATTGTCTTTTTATTACTGTGTCGACAAGAGAACGTACTTCTCAACAAAAACTCATTTATTTATTAGAATACTCGTTTTCTACCGGAAAAAATGGACAAACTTGATACCTTTCTGATAGAAATTGTTTTCGATTTGATATTGCTTGTTCCATGTTTATGTTTGTTCAATTTGTAAGTTCATGAGCAAATTAAAGAAAACTTTCGTAATAGAGTGGACTATATATGTACCTGCATATATATCCCCTAGTCGTCGTCGTCGTCTACTGTAATGTTTTTTGAACGTATATCATATGTCATTCTATATTTAATGATAAGCAAAAAAAAGTCTAAAAGATGGAAAAGTTACTAATCGTATTTTCTTTCTTTTCTCATCATTTCTTTTTTTCCTGTTTTAGATTCTCATAACTGATCATCAAGTCTATAACAGCGTAAAGAGTCAAGTGACTCTACATCATGCTTGGCATTCTATTTTTTATTCTCATGAGAAACAACAGTAGTAGAACTGTCCAAAAACACAATGTCTCAAATACGCATTTCAAAGTAAATTAGCAAAATAGATATATAAGACCAATAAACGGAACTACGCGTTATAACTCAAACATTGGTAGATGAACAATCACTCATTCAAAGTTCAATAGTTTCATAGTGTTTATTCTTTAGAATTTTTAGAGTAGTGGAGTAGTTTTTCTCAATAGAAATACTATACTATACTACTTTCGTTTAATATTTATTGAGTAAAAATAGAAAACGAATCAAAAAAGCACTTCAATATACTTTTACACTATAGTTTGTGTTATAATCGGTTGATATTGAACCGAAAATTCTTTTATTTCTCAACTTCAGCGACAAGATGAAATCAGAAAAAAAACAGTATCAATTTTAGAGAATTTCGAAATAGATAATGGAACCAATAGTTTTTATATTGACTAAAAAACATCAGTAATTTACGAATGTGTTGTTTCAATCAAGTATTAGAATGACTAAAAACATAATTTTTCCTCAAAAAGTATGTGTAACTAACTAATTCCCAGACACAAGTCTATTTTTAAGTTTGAATTATATAGATGTTATGTCAACGTTCGACTTAAGAACAAACAGCAAAAAAATTATCTAATAAGTTCTGTGAAACCCTCAATGTCATCAATACTGTGTCATGAAAAATAAAGGAAAAGTGAATATATAAAATAATTTCAATGATATAAAAAAGATATAAGACTGAAACCATCCGTTATCTTTTTTTTCCTAACTATTTAAACAACTAACTCTGACATTACTAAAAAAAAAGAAAAAGATTATCAATTTTATCATGCGTCATTCTTAGAGAAGAACTTGACAGCATATCGTCTTAACCACTCTAAGCAACTGATTACTATGTCTTCCATCAAGAAAAAAGTATTAAATCAGTCGTGTTTCGTGCGTGATAATCTAACACGCGTATATAAGTAAGACTTTCGAATTTTCATCATACATAAGTGCTAATGAATGTGTGAAATAACACTGACGATGACATATTTCGACAAAAATTAGTAGTTAGTTGATGTTGTAACTCATCACACTAGAGATTAAATATACAAAACTCACTATAATCAAAATCTTCAGGTAATTCTACAATTTAGCATGAACAGTATCTCTCACCACTAGCTTTACATTTAAAATATTCAAAATCATAAACACATAATTGTGAGATTTAACTTCACAAAATAGATGATTATTATTCTTGATAATAAAAGAGGCGAGAACTTACCGTTCGTAAAATTGTTGATCATCCAGTAATAATAATTCGGATTCTTGACTTTCTTGTCTTTGTCCTAATGTTATTGATGATTTCATTGTCGAATTATTATTATTTAAATGTTCTTTTGAATCAAAATTATTATCGTCTAATAATAATTGATTTGTAGGTGAATGTGAACGTGGTTTTGTTGATGTTGTGTGTTGTAATTGTTCGCCTTCCATTTCCAAACGTGATAAAATCAAATCAATATCATTATTAAAACGAATTAGTTCTCTAAGAACATTATCTTCATCCGAATACAAATTAAATCGACTATCTTCACTTAAATTATCGTATATACTACGATGTTTATATTTCGGTACAGTTGTTCGTGAATCATCATCGATCAAACGTTTCACCGATGATGAATGTTTTGATGATAAATAGGAATCTGTTGTTAATGGTGGTGTCTTATTTATAATTTCTTCTTCTTTCTCATCTTCTGTTTTAATAATGTGATCGGTTGTTTTAGCACAACAATCGGCATAAAATTCATTTAGTAAATTAGCTTTATCAATTAAACGTCTTAATAGACTTTGTGTTGAATAAGCGGATAGATCTGTAGATGAAAATTCTCCACTAGCAAAACTATGCGGTGTAAAACAACCACTTTTCTGACGATTGGAATCCTTATTTATGTTTATTAAATAATTATTTGGTGTATATGAACGATCTGTTGGGGTATCATTAGTGGTAGATGCTACTTCAATATCGACAAGTGAACAGGATTCATTCCGTTTATTTCTATTTAATATTAAACTATTTTCGCGTTTATATGAGTAAAAAGGTGATGCAGAATTATAGAATGAGGTGCTGGGTGCTGTTGTTGTTTCATGTTGATGATTTAAATCTTTTGTCGATAATAATGGAATCGATTGAGAACTACGAATGATTTGTGTCGGTGAAATGACGTCAATATTATCTGAGAGTTCGTCTTTTTCAGGTTGTCGTTGAATTGTCTCAATTTTTGTCGTCGTTTCTTGTTGTTGTTCAGATGTGACATTATTTTGATAAAAATTTTTTCGACATGGAATCTTCCTTTTATGAGCTAAATAAAAAGAAGAGTGACTACACTAAAATTATGCAAAAAGAAAAAAAAAAGTGGAACACGCGACATAGCGTTGACAAGTTGAAAAGATATATTTCTTTGCTAATGTTTTTATGTTATGATGATCAAAATTTATGCATCATCGATTCTAATGATAAAACTTATTTTATTCTATATTTCATAAATGTAATAGAATAGCGATACTGGTTTGTCCTCTCAACTTATTCTGAGATGATTGAAAATGTCGAACAAACCTACTAATTACTCAAGATAAAACAGACATTAAATAGTAGATGAGATGATCACTTAAACTACTAAGTTCAAAGATAAAGGATGATCCATGGATCCTCTGGAAAAAGGGGTTTTCTTTCTTACTATGAATCAAGAAAAAACTCAAACTTTAATATGTAATCTCTTACGGTCAGATGATTTCCACTGTAAATTTTTATAAGGGTAGCTCTGTTTTCTATATCGACAGTAAGAAGGAACAAAAACTTTTCTTCAGAGGATCCAAAACTTATGGATCACTCTTTATCTGCAAAAAGGCATTTTTAAGCCGACTGAGTGAACGTAGTGAGCTATTGGCTTATTGCTTTTTTCTAGAGGTTCCGCATGTTCTTCTTTCTTTTTTTAGTTATTTTTCTACACCTCGAGAGCGTTTTTTCTGCCCACCGTTCTCGGTTATGTCTAATCGTACAGATTTGAGAACAAGATTATTCGAAAATAGAAGAGTCGTACATGACACAACTAAAGTCAGTTTTCGGATATTTGCTTCAGTTATCCTATAATCAGTGGTACAAAATGAGTATGTTTTTTAGAAAACTCTATCGTTTTTCCTATGAGATAATTAATCGTCACGTGATATCGTTCGTAGTTATTATGAAAGCTATAGCAGAATGTATGATAGGATAATGAATCAGCTGATACATAATGTGAATAATTAAGATTCTTATTCTCTTCTTAATATTTACAATTTCGTTTGTCTTCTTTCTTACAAGCGTTCACTCAGTCGGCTTCCAATCTTCGCAGAGCGCAGTTGGCATCTAGTTCTTTCTTTCTTTCTTTCTCCACACCTCGAGTGCGTTTTCTGTCCGTCGATTTCGGTAATTTTAAGTCATAGAAGACTGGGACAAAAAAGAGAATATAAAACTCACACTGATTACGACCACATCCGAGGTTGTTTTTACGTTACCATTTTTAGTTTTCTCAGGTATATGCTCTAAACAGGGTCACTCAAAAGTTGGAACTTCGAAACTTTCAATGATCGAAATAAGTAACATGCGATAGTGTAAAAGAGAAGAAGGGAAAGTTATACATAGAGATAGAGAACGCTTGCCGTCAATAGCATGAGTGCAGTAGAGACTTATTAAGATTCTTATTCTCTTCTTAATATTTACAATTTTCGTTTCTGTCTTACTTGCTTCTCACAAGCGTTCACTCAGTCGGCTTCCAATCTTCGCAGAGCGCAGTTGGCAACTAGTTTATGTCACTTCGCTCTTTATTTGCTCCTTCAACTTTTTTTTCTGTTTACATCTAGTACTGATTCTTGTCAAGTGTATGTTAATTTAGGTTTATTTTTACCTTTAAAACATTGAATTCTTTTAAAAAATCCTTTTGTACTGTTTTCAACGGTAGTATCAGATGATGTTGTAACCGACGATGATAGTTCTGTTTTTGTTTTTGTTTTTGTTGAATAACAACAATAACAACAATTGTTGCCTTTCGATTTTTGTTGCTGATATTCTTTTGGCGATGAACGAACGGGGGATGACGAACGTAAACATCGAAAAAAAAGACTTTTTTTATCCGATGATGACATCTCATTGATATTATAAACCTGAAAGAATTTCAATATATTTAGTTTTAATAATTGCTAATCAAGCTGACGACAATTTATTGAACATAGAGAATTTATGCCATGCACCAATTTGATAAACGATTACATTGTAGATATTCTAAAAGAACAGAAAAATAATAATGAACAATTAAGTAAAAGAAAAAGACATTTGTGTCAAAAATTGAACGACAATAACACATTAAGAAAATCCATTATGTCAAATTATTATTAACGTTATAAAAATTACGAAATGTTCCATATTAGACGTAAAAATTTTTCGTTTCGTTCTTCTTTTTTTTTCAAATGGTATAAATATCTTAAAAAGAGAAAGAGAGAGAACTGTAAAAAAGTAGATGTGGCGGTGTGTATATTGAAATGTTATAATAAAAAAAAAAAAAAAACATTTTTTTTCTTTGTCAGACTTTTTTTATTCTGTTTTCTTAATGAATATTTTTTCTTAACATAACGCCGATACTCTGTGTTAGTGGACACTTACTTTTTTTTTTCATTCATTCATTTATTCCACATAACTATAAGAAAAGTGATGATGCTGTTCTGATGTGCATTGTACCTTGAGTAATAACAAGATGGATCTATTTTTTTCTTTTGTCACATTTTTAGATGAAACGAAAGGAAGGCTCAAAGAGGATACCTAGTAATGTTAATTGGCGTATCATTTCTGGTTGAACATGATTTTTTAACGATCTTTTTACATCAAATAGAATTGTATGAAATTTAAAAAATTATCAGTCTAATGGCACTAATAAACCTTTTTTTATGCATACAAGAGCGGAAATTTGTTTCTACATAGTCCTTTTAAAGTACCGTATTGATTCTTTTGTTTACTCAAAATAAGTGCAGATTGCTATTTGTCATCTGATTAATCACTTTTATAACTTGACGCAAGAATAACTATAGAAAATACAACGATACTTTTTTATTATATTACCTTGTTTTATGCGCATGAAACTGATAAATATAAGTGATATTACAAGCGATATTCTATAGCGCATGATAGATTTTTATAACCATCTCATATAAAAGTTTTTTAGAAAAAAAAAAAGTCTGCATCTTATATAATGAATACATCTACAGTAAACATTAAAAAATAGCTGGTCATTCAGTCAATGTCCTTCATTACAAAAAGGGTTAAGATAAATTCTTCTTACATCTATTGAATAGGGTGATGTCTAGGCTTTATCCCTGGTTGATTACAAGTTTTTTTATCTAACATTCTTTATAAAACTGTTTTAAATTTGAGCATATTTTAAAACCAAATAAACATTTGTTCGATTACATTTTCTTATATTTTTCTATACTGAACTTGAGGAAATTCGATGTGTACATGTATACTACGTCAATCGAAAGAGTAAATGCTTAGAACATGTTGAAATAAAATATTTCGTAAAAAATATACTTTTCAAGGTCTGAAAATTTAAGTTTTAATACTATACCGTAAACTTATAAATAATTTAATTCCTCAACTTGAAGTCTAATAAAAGAAAACTATTTTTCAAATATATCATTCAAAAGAGTAGACAAAACTACATTCACCTATACACTAAAAATGAATAGAAAAGAATAATAGTTATGATTAATAAGAAAGATTTATGTACAGTTCATTTGGTGTAAAGTAATAAATAAAATAAAAATCATAATATAGAGTGACCAGATAATTTTCGTATCCTTTGAGTAAGGGAAAAACAATAATGATGATATACTGCTCTAGGGTTTCATTCTCATCTGTTAAAGAATGAATCTATTTTGAAGGTTTCATGACTTATAAGTTTATTATTAGATGAAAATAAAATGTCTGTATAGATGACAAATATACTCATATTTGAAGAGTGAAGTTGAAGGAAAAACATTTTGGACGAGACAACAATTGTGGTTCCTTCTTGTTCTACAAATGATATGTGCAGATTTCATACATTTTTCATTTCTGTAATTTCAAAACAACGATTTACAATTGTTAATGACAAGACAAGTATAAATGAAAAATTCTAACAGTCTAACTAATAAGGAGGTATCGGTCTTTTGCACATCTTGTTTATATGACAAATGCCCTTCTCCTTTTATTTATTTCCTCTAGTTGACTTAACTTTATTCTAAACCAGTTGAATGTGAACAATATTGGTGCTAGATATATTATTGTGCATTTGAGATAAAAATTGCCACTATTTTAGTCTATCGATAGACACATTTATTTTCACTTTAAGAGTGCACTTCTATTTTTAAGAAAATATCGACGATTGATCATTTTAAAATAATCGTACATTTTTTTGTCACTTCAGAAATAACATAAATGTAGAAAAATCCTTACTAGATTATTCTAGAATTTGAAGACCTTGACTATTTAGATATTTCTTTCACTTTTTCGCTCTGAGAATTTGTAATGTGACGCGGCGCTATTTATAATTCCTTTGTTACTTTTTCTTTAAAAAGGTAAACGTATATCATATATTCATGTGTCTGCATCATTTTATGTCAGCATAATTTTTTACAATAGAGTACCGATCATATTTTATCTATATATGTCAATATGATATTGGTGATAATGAAAGTAACAAAAATCATACTATAGAAATAATAATAATAATAATAATAATAATATATCAAAGGAGTCGTACGTGACTTTATACGTATTGTAAATATTGTCGCCCTTTTCGAAAAAAATTGTTCATACATGTGCAATGTTCTAATAAACATAGATGCATAATTGTAAAAATGTCACGTAAGACAAGAAACACCAAAACATTCGACTCTTTCTTAAATTTTTCATTTTTTGTTGTTGTTACAAGCTGTCCAATTCGTATGTTTACTCGCGTCTGTCTATAAATATCATTTGATTTTACAGTCCTCATGAAGCCCTACAAGTTTTATATAAAATCCTCAATAGAAACTCATATCGCATCAGACAAAGACAACTAAAGACTATAGAATTTTTGTTTAATCTTAGTGGAAGTACACACAATTGATCACATCATGAGTTTTGTTTTTACTATACACATAGAATTAAAAAGAAAACGAAAATCGAATATTTAACCAAGATATAATAAAACGTGTGAAAATGCTTTGGAGAATGGTGCGGTATGCACTTGTATCTGGATTAAAGCTACATTTATGTAGTTCGAATCTGGCTGCAGTGAAATAAATAAAAATTTCGTCTAACTTCATTGTCTGTGTAGCTACCTATTGTCATTATTAATTAATCGATAGATTCAACAATAGCTTAAGCTAAAACACGATTTCGCTCACCTTGCAGCTAGGTAATGTAACTTTTAATCTAACTGCAAGCACAACTAGATTTTCACACTTACTCTTTTTTTTGTTCTGATGTATTATAAAGTGGCCATGTCAAAACAATGAAACTAATATTCTGAACTATCATAAACTTTCTTACTCTTATGCTTAATTAATACTTATTCTATCAACTCCTTTATTATCTATTGAAGCAATTAACTGAATACTCTTTAACTGTTATCTCTTTTAAAACTATTGACAATATTTATATGCTATTAGTTTTTCTCTAATGGAAATGATTTTATAAAAAAAAGTCCTTTGTGTTTTGTAAAGCAACAAAACATGTGTAATAGATTAAATATACCCTATTCTTACTTACCATAAGTTTGTCAATCTCTTTCACACGATCTATGTAGATATACAGATAGAGAGAAAATATATATTGGATTGTTTATTATTACCATAGTCAAATAGTACAAATTACCTATTATCTGTATACGATACTTTGCTTAGTCTGTAATAGGAGAACAAAGAAAAGAAAAAAAGTGACAGACTAAAAACATATGAAAAAAGAAAATCGATACGGTATGTCACCGTACGTATATTTTATAGATTTGTGGGAGGCGGGCGCGACTATAATATATACAGTAAAAGGGAGAATACCGGAAATTGTATAATATAAGGGTCTTATTTTAATTTATTATAGATTTGTCGCAATATTGGCGTACAATAAGAAAAGAAATCATTTTTTCTTTTTGTTTTCTTGAAAAGTCACCAACACAGATGATTGAGTACAAGGAAAAATGTATTCAATAATCATCGCAAGAGATTTCAAAAAAAAAATCCCACATACCAATTAAGAGCGAAACTAGAAGGACTTTTTTTTTTGTATGTGACGTGAGGCAAAACAGTGAAACCTCTAATAAAACAATCAGTGATAGATGATGATATAAATATTTATATAAACTTTCGTTGGCTTAAGGATACATAGTAGTTAAGTATTTTTTAAAATAAGTATAATTATGCACTTACTGATACTGACACTTGAGAGATTTTGTGATATATAGTGATAATTAATCTTATTTTTGGAAAAAATAAAACATAAATATCATCAAAGTTAAATTAAATAATAAAAACAGCAGGACTATTAAACGAAAAGAAAGTTCATACATTTTTATTTAATAATATTTTGACAAAAAAAATTGAATTTTCATACGATCAGCTTTACTTTCAATATGTGTAAGCAGTAGTAAAAGAACTAGAGAAAGCTGAGAACTTTATATGTATTCTTTTTTCAAAACAACGGATTATTACAAATTACAACATTTGTATTTCTAATTATTTTTTCTGTATATAGATCTCATCTGTAATCTAAAAGATTTCTAAGTATTAAATATAACTTATTACGTTGATGTATGAGACATCTATTATATGTTCCATACTAATGATAATAATCTAGATCAAAAATGACAACCCATTGTAAATCAAAATAATTTTGTTGTGTCAAACATACATACTACTCTCTATTATTCTCTAATTTAACTATCGTAGCACCGTAGTAAGTTTTGTTCGAAACCTATGAATCTAAATGTGAGAAAAGTTGAATTAGGCTCGCTAATTGGATTATAAATACTTCTAGTATCGTTAAATATTCTATTTTGATTGAGAATCCTTATAAGACATGTAAAGTCCTATATAAGAGTTGTCTAATTGAAATACAGCTGTGTCATAGATAGGTCAGTGAGATATATCTAAATAATAATCGTTTCAATAGACCAAAACAGTTATCTTATTCTGTGCACAGAAATGAAGAGATGAGTTATATTCTAAGATTTTTGGTACCATTTTTTAGTACATTTGCATAATATTTAACCTAAACGTCACTCAATGTCCAAATGATCAGTTTGTTGGACAACTAAAATTCACTTCATGAGAGTTACATCATATATGCGTCACTTGAACACTTTTATTTTGAAGATTTTTTTTCTTCTAAATATAAATGAAGTTAAATTACCTTTTTTAAAAGTGTAGAAAATGACATACATTGAAGAGGTTAGTTTAAAATATGTATATATTATGGAGGACATATATGTGTCAATCTGTCGATTGAACGATCCATTATGAATGTCCTTGTGTCGTAACATTCACACTACACTATTTTGTTTACACACACAATTTCAAACAGCATTTTGACAGCAACTACGTTATTTAACAATATATACATCCTCACCATGCATCATGGTGATTTATCTACTCAAAAATGCTTAAAATTTACCTATATTTGATACCATATCAAATGGCACAAAAATAAAACCTACTCATACAAATATTAAGAATGTTGCAAGAACAATTGTCATGTAATTTTGTCAGATAAGACTATTAAGATTGAGCTTTCTCTTCTTTCTATTGTTATTATTCTCTTATTAACTTGCAAAAATACACAGTAATAGATATATAGTTTAGTACAAAATAGTGTATGAGGGAGTTCTATGTATATATAGCACACATACACACACACGCGCGTAATCTTGTACTAGAGATGGAATAGGATCATTGTATGTTCACAACTATATTCATGTTAGAACCGGTTTAATCATATTAGTAAATATTACGTGTACTATGTACTAACACACACATAGTTCAAAAATCTCTAATAATCATTACAGGATAAAGGAGAAAAAAATTGTTATTCCAATAGACAATGATAACAGCGTGAATCATCTTATTTCATTATTATTTAAAACAACATATCTAATACCATGGCATGAGGGTATCGATCCTTTATCTGGTTAAATGTTTGAAAAATAAATAAGCAAAGCGCATTTTTACGTATGTGAAAAATGTCATAGATCTTCAGTGTATATTTCACACAATGAAAATACTTAAGTTATTTAAAATGTCGTTATGAAAACTATTGAATTCAACTTATCTGAATTCAAACTCCTTTTCTTTATTCAATCGTCAGAGTAAAATCTTTGAAGTTACTTACGAGAGTCTTGGCTGTTTTGCTTTTTCTAGCTTAATATAGCCAAAACTGCAAAAATTTACGGTTATTGAACAAGAAAAAAAAATTTTGGGTTATGTGATAAAATTTTCAATGATTACTTAAGTTGTACTTAGCACAAAACGTAATTCTCAGTTTACCATAAGAGAAAAAAGCGTAGGCAAAGAAATTATACTTCAGACAACTTGTCTAAAAATAATCTAAAAATGAACAAACACTCGTTTATTTTTTTTCTGTAGACTAATAAATGTATGCATACTTTTTCAAATTTTAAGCCATATATCATAAAGAATTCCATAGATTATACGAAACAAAAAACTGAAAAAAGATCTTCTTGATTGATAAAAATAAATGAATAAATGAATGAGATGTAGAAAAAATTTGTTCGATATCATCAAATACACACACACAAAAGAAGAACATTCATCAATCATTAGTAGAAAGAATAAATGAAGAGAGGAAAAACGTTATACCATACCAATGTCGTCGCACTTAAACTGCTACTTACTTATATTAGACTATTATTTGAAATCAAAATATAAAGAATTTATACATCTGTACTTTCAGAGAGTATAGACAAAATTTTTTAACTAATAATAACTATTAATCATATCTAAGTTCAACCAAAACCTTATCGCATTCTTCTAAAGAGTCTTAAATAATTTCATACACGTGCAATTCTTATCTGTATCTAGACTTTCGTGCATAGATCAAATCCTCTCGATTACTCACCGAATTGAGAATAAGCTCTTAGTTTATATTATGTTTAAGAGTGTTTATATATATATACTACACTTTATAAAACACTACTTTTTCTTTTTTTTCTATATCCTCTATGTGTTCATGCATAGAACTAGTCATTATTATATTTTTATTCATGTAACTACAACCACTCATTAACGATAAGTACAGTAAAAATTTGTGTTGTGTTTAGTTTGCATAAGATGTTGAAAAAGTAAGTAGTTCATTCATTTTGATAATATATGGGGACAGTCCGTTCTTTCTTTCTTTCTTTTCCTTCCTAGTAGAAAAAGACAACAACTAGACTAATGTTCTAAGACAATGTATTTGAATTATTCAGTTAGTGTCGAATTTAATTATAATTAAAAGATTTTTTATCATAGAGAGAAAGAGAGAGAAAGGGAGAGAAAAGAAACAGGTATCGTAAAATCCAATAAATATCTTCATATGATGGACGGTACAAGAGAAAAAGACATTTCCTCAAATATGTTTCACAATTACTTTAATTCATACTTCCTCTTATTCTTTCTGGCTATTGTAGTAAAAGAAAAATGAATCATTACAAAAGGAAATAGTTCTAGAATTTAACGTTGTCTTGCTGAAAGCTCATAACTATTATAAAAAAAAATGAATCATACCACCGGAACAAAAAAAAATAAAGTTGGTTTTAAGTTAATGAAGAGTGCTTTTTCGTATCCAGGACACTCAATAGTCCAGAAGACTTTCTAGTTTTGGCGATGGATATTTCCAAAAGTTTAGGAAAAATTTTGTAACAAAATGGCCCAAAAAAATCTCCATGGGAAAATAATATTAGTTTGAAAATTTTTCCTAAACTTTTGGAAATATCCCTCGCCAAAAATAGAAAATCTTCTGGGTTATCACATGTGCTTAATACGAAAAAGCACTTTTCAGCAACTCAAAACCAACTTTATTTTTTTTCCTCCATAATATCCACTACTCATTCGCTGTTGTTGCGGAGAAATCGGCGGACAACGGGAATTAAGTAAAACATCGTTTAAGAGAAAAAAAATTTCCAAGACTGCGTAGATTCGCTATAGTTTTAGCTTTTATAGTGACTTCTTTTTCAAGTTCAATAACATTTCAGTTCTATCTGTTTACCTTCCATTGAAGAAAGTTGTGTTTTTTAATTTGCCTCAGTATTGTCTGATTTTATTCCAGCGTATTAAACTTCGAACTTAATATGATCATCTCTTAGGTGAACAATAAAACGTACATTTGTTCTTCAAAACAAGTTTGTTTAAACCTAATCAATACAGAACTTTTACATTTTTCTTCAAATGTCAATATACAAATCAACAACGATCGTGTAAAAGAGACATTTTTTAACTGATCTTCTATTGTTTGATAAAGAAGAAAAAAAGCGAAGAGTTCCAGACATGAACAAACAAATAGATTTTTTGTATATTGTAGCGTTACTACTTCAATTTAGAATATAACACTGGACACTTTGTATTCTTTACACTTCATTTAGGTGAAAATTAGTTTTAAATAAACTTGTGTTAAACACGAAGTAACAGCCCATATTCGAATGGATAAATTTCTACTTTTTTTCTAAAATCTCGCCCAGGAAATGCTGATTCTTATTTCCAGTGAATGGGCGTCAGTCATATGATACATCTCGAAAAGTTAAACATATGAAGTAACGTTCGAAATAATAAATCTAAAATTCGCTGTTTAATGAATGTTTCAAATTTAAGCGAAATAAATTTAACTGGCCAGGAAACTATAGAGTAGATTATTGAAATTTCACCGTTCATCATTGTTTCAGAATTAGATGAGTTATTTCATTTCACGTAACTTTGTATGCTAAACAGGAATCTGATGTCTGTTTATTACAATTGTAGACAAAATATCGGAGAACGTAAAAAAAATCGTTGTTTTCAGCTATTTATTACTATACTTTTAGTTTAAAGGTTTTTTTGGTACAGATAAGAAATTTCAAGTTAGTCTACCTGGCCAATGGTCGAGAAAAGTCGTGAATTATTTTTGTACGTGTACTAAAGGAACGTTTGTTCATCCATCAGATCCAAGGATATCTTTTAACTTTCTAATCAGAAATATTGAATTAAATATATTAGCTGTATCCTTTATCTTTTATTATCACTACCAAAATTTATAACTAAATTTTAAACTTTTCTGTTAATTGTATTCTTGTTAACATACAAATGAATCAAAAAGTTGTACAATCTGGCATTATTACAGTAGTCTTAATTTAACATCATAACCGTGAACTACAGTGAAGGTCAATAGTGAAGTCATTATACACCTAATGAAGACTTATTTGAAATCTGCTTGTCAATTTAGTCAATTCTCAAACGACATTTTCTAGACGAACTTTCTGATGATCTCTAAAATAGTTGATATTTGTATTGTTATAATCTTAGATAATTGGTTTTGTCAAATGTTATTTTTCTGAAAATTTTTAGGGCTTTCCTGCATCGAAAAGAAAAACAAAGTTTTAAATTTAAAGGGAATTCTGGGGCCAAATGACTATTTTTACAGTTTCTTTTTATGGACAGTGCCAGTTCAAAATGTCAGCTATCTGTTATACGTTAGAATGAGAATATTTCTTCTTTCAATAGTGACTATTCACACTATGTTCATTATGCTATGTGTATATTTATGAAGAAAGTTTTTACATTTTTATCCACTAGGACAACGTTGACAAGCTTTTCTCTTCTTAAATTAGTATAATGGTTTTATTTTTGCGTTTGTTTTCAACATAACAGGCGACACAAAAACAAAAATTGAAAACAAAACTCGCAAAAATAATTCCTCGTTGTTGTTGCCGTCATAGACCTAATTTTCTAAGCTTGATCTTTAGAAAAAGAAGCCTAATACTTTCCCACCCGTATGTTTTCTTCTTGCTTCTTCATGGTCCAATATTCCATGAGACGTTGTTAACACGATAAAACTACAATTAAATATATATAAAAAATTAACTGTTTTAGATAAAAAAATGAATCGTTTCAACATACCCAAATTGACGTGATGGTAAAAGATTTTTTGTCCATGTTTCAATTTCTCTTAATGTACAATCAAATCGAGGACTGATTACACCACACTAAAAATTAAGAATAAAAAATAACATAACGAAAATAGATGACGTGAAGAAATAAACATACTTTATTTAATCGGCCATTTAAATTCACGACAATTTTTCCTGAACGATGATCATCAACAATTTCAAATTCGCCAATATAACCTGAAATCGATAGAAATCAACTGGAGTTAAATCTAATAAGATAAGACTTTCAATAAAATTCTGTGTAAAGTTTAGCAGGTTACAAGTTTTCTGACATCTTATAATCTATAAAAACAACAACAACAACTACATCTCCTAATCCTACTCTACATAATTATGATCTTATCCTATTTTATACTATGATTTTTCCATTAATAAATTTCTTTCACTGTATAATTTTATATAATAGAACCTTCTCTTGAGCTACTTTTCCAAAAATGATCACTTGAACTTATTAATCTTATCGATGTTATCGAACTTTTCGACTAACACCATTTTCTAATAATTGTAGTTGAAACAAGATCAGAGAATTATTTTTGCACTATATTCACCTCCAAACGAGATTGTTTAAAAATCAGAATTATATATATTTTTTACTGTAGAATGACGAGTCGTTTTTGCTATTTATTATACATTTAATGTCACGAAAACTGTTACATCCTAATCCTGTAGGAGAGAATAGGATAGAGCATTTTTTTCCTCGAGAATTTTGAGAAAAATAATGTATGGTTCCATGAATAAACTGTTCTTTATGTCAGTGGCGGATTTAGGGTGCTAGTGGCGGCCGCCAGCATGGAAATTTTTGATATCATATTATACTCTTCTTCTTGTGCAACATAGTAATAAAGGAAAAGAACTAAAAATCATGTCGTCTAGAAACTCCTAAGCAAAGTTGTTAAACTTGCTCTTTTGTCCAAATCCGCCAGCACCGAAAATTTTTTCTGGATCCGCCACTGCTTTATGTAACTCGAATAATAATGTCAAAGTCTGTCCAGTCTCAAATATCATTTTCAATTAGAGTGGTGGTTACTTATTTTCTCATCTTTAAACTTTTTTACTCTCTTTTTTTTTCTTGGCTGCTAACTGCTGTATAACAAAGTTCAAATTTCCCACCATAATCAAAAACAATGGAAAATCCTGATCTCAAGGGGTACATAGACAATGACAATTTCACTTACCGTGTTTCATCATCACAGTTAGAAATTTGACAATAACTTTTGAACATGGTCGTATTAAAACCTGTCGCTTGTGACGTTTTTCAGCATTGTTTATGGATTTTAAGGCATCAGCTAATGCATTCATTCGAACCATGATTAAGTATTTATACTTTTTTTATAATTTCAAAAACGCGCACACGGGGGCGAAAAATATCTAAAAATAAAACAAAAAATCAAGTTGTTCAAATCAAGTTGTCAAGAAGTTGAGGAAGATTTTAAAGAACTATCTTTTAGTTTGAAAGCAGAAAAAACAATACAAAGATTTAGTAAAGCGTTATTCAAAGTTCTTGATAACAAGATACGAACAAAAAGAATCTCTTTACAAATAACAACATAATATCAAATTATTTCTATAATCGATTAGCAGCTACGTCATTGGTTCTTGCTGTCGCTTAGATATTTTAAAAGTAAGTTTCTAAGTCAAATACTAGAAACATTCGTGCGAAACGAAAACAATCAATGATTTTGAAGGAGAGACTGCATTTCCTTGTAGATGGTATGCTAGAAAATCTGGGAAATAAACAGAAATAAAAGATATACGTTGTCATATTTTAAATTTTACAAAAAAAAATTGTTGAATAAAATTGTTTACAACAAAACGATAAGAATAAAACTCAAATAGGAATATACGCACACATGCACACACGTATAAAGTAGAAGTACAAAAACACAAAAATTACTCACTGATGAGAGAGAGAACTAACAAATAGACAACAGCAAAACCCGTCTCCATCAAATTAGTCTGTCTTTCTATGTTGATCTTCAACAATATTGTTATCGGTTGTATGATTTAGATCAGTTGTCTGCTGGTGTTCATCATCAGAATTTGTCGTTTGTTCATCTGACTTTGATACTTTTCGATGACGAAGTGTTTCCACTTCTTGAGACGATGATGGTGAAGGTACAATAATGTATTCTGAGTCAACATCGGACGGCGAATCGGAAGGCGGTTGTTGTTGTAAATCAGAGTGACCCTGTTCGAGTTGCTGAAGATTAGGTGCACCTGTTTCATTTTCACCTGATGTACCAAATTCATTTGTTCGACGGCGATCAACAGGATAGATGTAACGTTGATATAAATAGATAAAAAATATAATATCTAAAAAGAAAATAATAATAATGGAATAAGCAATTAACGTTTCAATTTGAATGCTAGAATGTATTCTAATGCTTAAAATATTCTCGATTGTCCACTTTATATGTGAATTTCTCACTTAATTGGGACAATCGATAATTGAAAAAAAAACGTTTCGTCTTATAAAATCATTTGACTTACCATCTCGAAAACATCCAATTCGATACATTGTTGGCATTTTGATGACAAATGCAAACATATCGTCAATAAATGTATTTAATGCCTTGTACGTCATCATACGCCATGGTAGATGTGCGACAGATTTTAATTTATAATTAATAAACAACTGGGGTGTCATCATTATAAAACCTTAATGGTTAGAACATCAGGATAAAACAAAGTGTGAAAAATTAATTTTTTTATCAAATAATACGCTAAAGAAACCTACCAAATGTGAGTAAAAATCCATAAATGGTACTTAATACAAATGAATACCAACTTTTATGCTCATGATATGTTAACGAATAAATAGCATAACCGATTACTAACGGAAATAATGCCCACGATAAATAACGGAACGCTTTCTGAATAAAAAAACAGACAACATAAACAATAGAAATAGCAAGTTGCTATTGTAAACAGTTTACTTGATCATAATCACTCGTTGAAGTATCTGTATATGATGGTTTATAAATATATTTAAATTTAGGAATTAACCCAAACCATGTTTCATTTGGTACACGCTGAAATAAACAGAAAAATGTGATGTAGAGTAAAAAACATATTTTAGTTAGAATAACCTTGCATAAAGTTTTTGCAAGAGAAAATATTATGCCATCAACTTACAGCAAATGTAAGAATTTTTGGTATTTTCCAAAGCTCAATTAGTATACCAACAAAGACACTAATTCGAACCATTGTATTTGTGTCATTATCAAATACATACAACAAAACTATTGCACTTTGAAATATATTGAAAAATATACTACGAACTGATAAACCTTCTAATGATTTTCGAGTTCGCCAAAATTGAATATCTACAAATGAAGAGAAATTCGCGTATGTTTAGTTCATATTTATGTATAACCACTCACTTACCATTTTTAAATGCTAATATTTCAAATACTGTATGCACAATGGAGACACAAATTGTAATAATCAATAAATAAGGATTTGTTTCGATCAATGCACGCTAAAAGAGTAAAGAAAAACATTAGTAATAGAAAAATCTGAATATGAAAACTGAACTATTAATTTATTACTGATCTTGTCATTATAATATATCTCTACTATGTTGGTGTTCGTTCAAATTTTAGTGAAAACTGGCTCCGCTTAGAAACACAGAATATAGGGATAATTTTTCCTACCTTCATGGCATCTTGATCTTCATCTGATTCATCATCTCCCAGCAAATTACCATACCATGATTGTCTTAAACTTTGAGAGATGTACATTTGCCATTTCCAAAGTTGTAAAGGAGAGTAGACCAACGTTAAGTTTAAAGTGCTGAAATTATAAAAAAAAGAAAAAAAAGTAATAAAATAATGACACTCCTACTACACTACCGAGGTAAAAAAACGGAAATATAGGTCTCTCAATCAAACCTATCTATGTATTTCTTGATTACTCTGTCCAGTTCACATATTAAAAATATAAAATAGTACGAAACGAATCGTTTCGCAGCTAGCTCTAGAAGAGTCTTAACCGAAACTCAATTTTCAGTGGAATGCAATTGTTTTGACATTTCTTGATGTAGAAAAGATTTACTTTTAAATCCACCTACTCCATGGTATTATTAATTGGATAATAATCTGATAGAAGATTCCAATAATCGTTCAAGTATAAAACAGGATAATATTTTCCAGTTAACATATCAAATTCGATATCTAAAAGAAAATGCAAATGACATTATAAAAGAAAGAATGAAAACAAAAAACGTCTTACATTGATCCAACGGTGGAGGAATCGATCCTTTTGTCCAGGGTGAATGATCATCAAGAAGATTTATTGTCATATTTGGGTGCCAATGAGACAGAAGTTCAACAATTTTATCATCAGCTTTCTAAACAAACAAGAGATTAACCTTTTATTTTTTCTCGAAATGTGGATTCTAAATTTCAAATTTTCTAGTACAATTTTCAGGAGATCGTCTGAAAATCTTCGAAAGGCATAAAAACGTTTCTTTCAATGATTCACTGGATTTCTTTCGAAAGACTGATCCATTCTCATTATATTCTTGGCTTCTTTACTATTAGACATTTATACGTGTAAAACAATTACTATTTACTCCAGATACGAGCGAGTAAAACACAACAAAAAGTCGTTTTTCAAGAAACTTTATGAACGAAATGTAGCTATTGGACAGACGGCAACTTTTCTCACACACTAAAAATAAATAAATTCCTAAAAAGATTTACCATTAACTACTAACCATTAGAGTGGAAAATGTAAAACATCCTGATAAAACATCTCGTACATCTTCATTCAAGATCATAGCGTATAAGATCGCACAATACAGGCTCAATCCACTGAGAATGAAACGAATATGAGAAAAATAGGCTTTTTAAAGCTGAACTAACCATAAACACTATGTCTTTTTGTGTGCTCTACTACAGATCTGAATGATACAGTCAGAAAAAGAATAAATAGCACTAGTCTCACTCAAGAACACTTAGTTGATATCATACGTAGGCAATGGAGCGTTCCAGGATCGCGTGAAACTCAAAATTTTTTCTAATACGCCGGTCGATCAACATACGCGTACTGTAATCAAAAGCAAGAGGAAACGTAAGTCTGCTGGCTTAGAAAGTAGTAAAGACATCCTTTAAGAAGAACTTACTTTCTGATATTCTTCATCGTGTTCTGTATTTCCAGTTAACAAGTTTTTGGTTTTTTTATACACTTTCTTTTTGAACTTGTTCAAACCTATAAAACAAGAAAAACAGATATTTAAGATCGAAAATATACAAATATTTCAGATATACTAACGTTTTGTTTTTGAGAATGAATACCGTTTCGAATAGGAATCACCATCCTCAGGGTTTGGAGAATAACCATGTTCAGTGACAAATACATGAAGATATAGTGAACCATTATTTTGAACGGTCTGAAATAAAAACAATAAAAATCAGATAGAGAAAAGAGCAGACGTATTCGTTCCAAGCAGAAGACTAAAGTGCACCTTGTGTCAAGATTTAGCTTCGGCAATTTCATTAGGTGCGTAATTTCTACGACAATGAAAGATTTACACTGAAAAAGCATATAGAAAAGGGAAGTATGGCATGTTGTGGCAATCAGAGCGTGGTTCTCAGCTATGTCCTTCATCAAAAAATAAACTTTCCACGCACAAAAATAGTTTTCTCAAAGAGATACTTACTTCGCTAATGGGAATTTGTCCATATTTTGTGAATGTTCCATCTCTGTTTGGTCCAGCTTTCCAATTCCCATATTCAAGATTTTCTAATAACCAAAATGGTTCTTTTGTTTGGTTAAAACTGTATACTTGATCTTCTGTTATGTATATATACATATCCTGAAAAAAAAGGCAAAATAAGCACAATTGTGTAGTTAATTCATCGTTTCTTTACTAGTTTTGATCCTTTTGGGAAGATGTTTCCTGGTGTAAACGCACCACTCCCGTCAAATGATGGTGTTAATGTTGAGTTTGTTACAGGATTTTGTGGGGTACGACGGAAAAATCTTGTGACAAAATATATCATTAACATTCTAAATAAAACTGTTTTGATAATTTCCCAACCACTTTGACGTCGTGGAGCAGCTGGAACAGGAGCTCCTGCGGCTGCTGGTTGAGGAGTGGGAGTGACCACAGCATTGCCTTCTTGCTGTACAATAGCTACAGTATTATTAGTATCATTCGATGTTTGAATATTCGTTTTTGAATTTGTTGGCTGTACCGGAAGTTGTTCGATCTAAAGCAAAATAAAAAATGATTTGGTTATATATTGTCGATGATTAATACTTTAGGAACTTACGGTAGTGTCTTCGGCAGAAGCATTATTGTCCGACATTATCTAAAGACGAAAAAACACATAATAAAGTGAAAAACGAAGAGATAATGTGATAATTCTAATGTTCGCAACATATAGAAAAGTAGATCAGTAGCTTGCCAGACTAATAAAACTACTAAAATATTGACTCTTCTACTCCATTCAATACATTTTATTAGCTAAGACTTCGCATCACAGTTCAGCGAACTTCTCTCATTCATATTATTATCAAAGAACAAAATTATTAGACTCTAGTTAGTGTTTAACTAAAGAGCTTCGTCTGTAATGAGGTTTTAACCACTTGAACGAAAAGGACTTCGAGTTACATAGAGATCGAAGCATTTTGGATTATTAATCGTTCTCTAAGTAAAACATGTATATGACAACGATAAGAAAAAACGATTTCTTCTTGTATTGAGCAAAAAAAAAAGAAGATAACCTTTTAAAAATTCATTGATCCAAATACTACCCTTCTGATGAAAATAAATGTTAGTCAAGATATAAACCTAGCGCTACTTTTTAGCATCTAAAAGCGTGTTGGATGAACCTTGCACATATACTCGTGGACTGACTAATCGGAAAGTGATAAAACGTTTTCATTTTTCTACTAAAATAACTGAAGAGGAATATAAGCGAAAAGAATATAGGCGACATCTACTTTAAAATTTTGTTAACTTTTTTTTCTTTTAAAAGTCCATAAACAAAGATATTAGAATAGATTGAGACAATTACTTTTCTCTTTTTAATGTACATATCTCTTTCCGTAAATTTCATAAATAATGTACCAGATGGAGACACAAGCCATTGTTCCCGGTACCAAATATTCTGCCAGAATATTTTCTTCTAACATCCCGGATGTTAGAAGAAAATAGATCAAGATGTTTTTTTAAACAATAGTTTCAAAACTGGGATAAGATAAGATATTATGACGATGTGATAAAATCGGCATAGTCTATTAGACTATGCCGATTTTATTTATGTTAGACTAAGTCTACTTAGTCTAACATAAATGAACTTTTTTCTTGAACACCAGAATAGACGTTGTATACAGTTTGCGTTGGATTTACCAGTTTGTTTGTTAGAAGAAATATATGAGATAAAAGTTTTCGACTGAGACTGGTTAATCGCTTATTTGAACGTCCAAACTTAACTTACAATGACAAGTGTAATTTAAGAGCGTTGCATTGTATATTATCCAAGTCAACTTTCATGTTGAACTTGTGACGTGATCTCGCTGACTCGTTCATGAGCGCTATTGACTAGTGCTGTCACATCACGATCGTGCGAAAATCTTATTTTTTTCAAAAAACATTTCCCAACATTTTTGAGTCCCTATTGAAAAATTTTCTACGAGAGCAGTCTCAACAAAACGCGAAATTTTTATTTTTTTTGAAAAAACGGTGGAAAACGCTGTCGAAGAAAAACGCGTTGATCTTCGTTTGATTTTTGGTTGTCATTAGTTTGTCAACATTTTTGTTTAACCCCGTGAATGTGAACAAGGTACAGACTTGTTCTTCTCGTTTTTTCTCGTCTGATATGTATCTAGTTGAAAACTGTATTTATTTCATGAGAAAAATCATTAAGAAACACAATATAGAGTCAGATGGGGTAATTCCGGCCCCTTACACAAAGTTTCTTAGTATTTTGCGTATTTCTAAGGCGTTTTTAATCGGATAAGCGTACTATTGAATATGAAGATAGAACTAACAGTTTTCTACCCGCTGATGTAAAAATTTCCTAAAAATCTCTCTCCATTTTCGATCAGTGTTCAAAAGGAGACAGGGACCTCCAAACCGGCCGGAATTACCCCATGTGGGGTAATTCCGGTCGGTCCATTCAAATACATGGAGTTTTCTGGAACAAACCTCTGCTAATTAACGGTAAGTCATAATCAGGTAGAAATTACACCAGTTTGAAGCTCTTCTTCTCTTCTACCTGT